GAAAGAAGGCTTGACCCCTTCAGCTCTCTGAAGGTCTTGTTTGCTATAGCAAGGTGGCAATACCGTTAATTTGTTGCTGGTTTTCCTATTGGGTTGGTCAGTTTGGGATTTTTTTTTTTTTAACCTCTTTTACCGTCTTAAAATAATAAACCTCTGCATGCCAATATGGTTTAGAGGGGCAAAGAAACAGTGTCTCTCTTGGATATTTTAGGAAATTATTATCATCTTCATCGTAGGTTTTAGGGAGAAGATTAAAACCCAGATATGAGAAGATATTCTGGGACCTGATCCCTGTTGATATTTTTAAAAGTTGAGCACCCACTGCTTGTACAGATTTAGCGTGTAAAATGATTTGCCCGAAATCCTGCACAAAATCCCCAAGTGGACTGGTAATTCAACAAATCTGCTGATCCTCAGTTCAATTCTGTTTTCTCACAAAATCACGTGGATAAAGTCTGTAATAGCACTTCCTTCCCAGCTCCTCGGGGCAAGGACAGAGTTTTCTGGTTTTATTAACGTGCTGCATATGTTAGCCTGATGTTACCTATTAAATATCCTTTTTTCCAGACTTTGCTTCAACTTTGTGATGTCTTCCCCTGAAATTGCTTCCCTTTCTTGGGGTCAGATGAAGGTGAAAGGCTGCTCTACAACGTATAAGGACTGCAAAGTATGGCCGGGAGGAAGCCGAACCTGGGATTGGCGAGAAACTGGGACTAATGTAAGTTTGCTCTTTACTCTGCATTGCAAAATGGGACTCTGAGAATGATCCAGAGAACAGTTGTTAAGAGTTCCAGCCAGAAATTCATCAGGCTGCCTTTTGCTTTCCTCTAATCATGAGACTTTTCCTGGTAAGAACTGAGCGTACGTTTCGGAAGTGACCGTGTGGAGAGGCCGGGGGACTGCAGACGCACAACATCCCACAAGTGACGGGCTGTACCGACTGTCGCCACCGCTCCTCACGGCTACCCTGACCAGACCACTCTCGCACACTTTAGGGCTCATAAACATGCCTTTTCTTAAGAGTGCAGTTGTCCTAAGATGCTGGTTACAACCGCTTTTCAGACTGTGTAAACAAAAGTTGGCTTGAGAGAGAGGGAAAAAATTATGGGAAGTTGAAAGAAATCAACAATAACTGACCTTATGCGTTTGGAAGGTGACAATGCACGTGGTTTCCTTTACATCCTTTTCCTTGTGGTCCCTTTTACTTATTTCAGAGGAATTACAACACAGAAACAGTGTCATATGCACTAGTTTCTCCGCAAAAAGCTCACGGTCTGGCTAACCACACAATGACTTTCTTCGTAGCCATATACTAACTACGCACCCTCACAATTCTTAAACTTTATCTGTAAATGCTGTCAGAATTGTCTAAAAGTACATGGGATAGTATTGATGTTCCAGATTTAGAAGCAGCATAATGTCTGTTGCGTTAGGAACTAGATGATAATTCTCCCCATATTAGGGCTCGCACTAGGATAGCTGTATCGGCTAGGAAAAAAAAAAAATCCGTATTTCCTAAGCAAAAGTTAAAGCACAAAAGAACTGCATCGGGTCTTAGACCCAGCACCCGCACAGGGTGACACAGGGGATACAGCTCCATTGAATTCATTTTGACGCAACTGAAGGGCAGAACCTTTGGGTTTGGAACTTCACCTATAATCTTTGGGGGAAACAGAACTTTTTTAAGCTGTCAGAGTTCAGTTTGTACAGAGTATATAATGCCAAGAGAAAGGTAGTGCTATCATGCAAAGATAGCTGTAGCTTGCAGAGAAAGATAGCTGTGTATGTAACCTTTTAAAATTTATTTAATTTATGGTCTGATTATAAAAAAAATGAAGTTTTCACTGGCT